GATCCCAGGAGCAGCTCCAGCCCCAGGGCTGCTCTCAGAGCAGGGCAGTGTTTACATTTCTGTGGGGAGCAGCTGAGTGGCCAAATGGGCCCCATCTCCAAGCAGAGCAATCCACAGACATCTCCCAGTGACAGGGACCTCTTGATCTCTCCACTATCTCACTTCCTGAACTGCATGATGCTTTTCAACATTTATTTCTTTTCCGTAAAATACTTTGCAACATCTTAGCCCAACTATTCATATTTTTTAAACTTTTTCTCTCTAAAGCACTGTTTGGTACAAACCTGCTTCCTCCAGTGCACAACCCACTCAGATTTGCTCTCTCTTCCTTCTCAGAGGAACCCACCTTGATTTGCTGCTCACAATGACTTCACCTCGGGTACCTCCTGCTGAAAAATCAGGTTTCAGTGAATATACTCTCTTTAGATTGTTGCACAGATATTAAAAAAAAAATAGCAAAGCAGAATTGAAGCATATTTGAATTAAGTCAAGAGTGGCTCAAAATTCACTTATAAAATTTTCACCTGACAATAACACTGTGCACTGTATGCATCTGTAGTACTTTAAATATATACACCCACCCCCAAATGTACATATACTTCAAAAGTCTCTTGAAAAGCAAAGGCTGTGTTCCAAACTCTCTATTCCACCCTCCTAAACTTCCTAAGGTTGCTGCAAAGAAAGAACAACCTTAATTTTCTGAAAATACATATCATAAAGCAAAATAATAATAATAATAATAATAATAATAATAATAATAATAATAATAATAATAATAATAATAATAATAATAATAATAATAATAATAATAATAAATTTTCCCAGAGCTTCAGACTCCAGTTTGGATTGCTGCAGCATTCCAGCTCGACAGCACACTCTTACTCCACACTGCTTTATTTTATCAAATGCAGGACTGGGACCAAGCACTTCCAGCTCCCTTTGTGTTACAGGTTTGATTTTCTTGCAGCCCATTTCTTACAGGTCTGGGAGCTGTGACAGAGGGCTCAGGGCAGCTCAAACCCATCTGCTTTCCCTGCCACAACCATCCCTGGCTGAGGAAATTTTGTTAACAGGACTCAGAGCAGTTTGACCAAACTGTGGAGTGTTTGTGGCTCTCCAGAGCAGATTTTCTGGAGTGGGAGGTTGGGAATTGAGAGCTGGAGTTGAGAGCTCAGCCCCAGCTGGGTCTGTGAGCAGCCTTGGTGCAGGAGAGGGCAGAATCTGACAAGGATTCCTGCCAGAAAGAAAAGGGTACTCATTAACCACTGACAAACACTGGGGGGAAAATAATCATATTGTTTTGCTTAGCAGAACCACAGCACATTTTTGGCCAGAAATACAAAATGCTGTGGGTGCAAACTGCAGTTCCCTTAGAGGGTTCAGCTCTGCTCAGGGCCTGGGGACACTCTTGATGAGCAGAGAGCACCAAAATCCCAAAATCCAGACTGGTTTGGGTGGGAAGGGACCTTAGAGAGCAGCCCACGCTCCCTGTGCCATGGCAGGGACACCTTGCACTGCCCAGGGCTGCTCCAAGCCCTGTCCAGCCCGGCCTGGGACATTTCCAGGGATGGAAATGGCCTTGGAAATTTCTGAGGCAGCCACAGCTTCCCTGGGCACCCTGTGCCAGGGCCCAGGACACAGGGTGAAGGGCACTATTATGTATTATAGGGTGTATTATGTATTCTATATGATATATTGTAATACATAATGTTACATATTATATTATATTATATATAATATAGGGTACTATTATATATGATATGATATGATATGATATGATATTATATTATATTATACTATTATATATTATAGGGTGTATGATGTATGATAATATATATTATATATTATAATACATAATCTTATATATTATATAATATAGGGTACTATTATAGGGAGTATTATGCATTGTATATATAATATAATACATAATACATAATATATAATATATAATATATAATATATAATATATAATATATATTATATATTACATATTATATATTATATAATACTATTATAGGGAGTATTATGTATAATATATATAGTGTATTATAATACATAATATATTATATGTTATATAATTTTATTATAATTATAATATTATAACATATAATATATTATATATAATATAATATATAATATATATAATATAATATAATATATAATATATTTTATATATATTATATAATATATATAATATATATAACATATAATATATATATAATATATGTATAATATATGTATAATATATAATATATAATATATATAATATATATAACATAATATAATTATAATATTATAACATATATTATAGATAATTTATATATATATATAAATTATATAGAGTGCAGAGTGTATTATGTACTATTATATACATTATATATATACATATATAGACACACACACATATATATATATATACATATATATATAGGGTGCAGGGTGTATTATAATGCATAAT